AAAACGATAAAAACGCTGCTGAGGGTTACCTGTTCCACTCTGAGCCTGTTTTTCAGGTCTCAGGCTCGAAAATGACATTCCCAGAACAAATGACCATATCTTCCCTTCTAAAAGGGTTAAATTAATAATCTTTTCTCAAAGTAATGATAAACCTGTGAGTTGGATGTAGAAGTGTCAGAATCAATATAAATGTTTTTTATTTTAAAGAAAATTCAGATTTTACATAGTAAAAAACTGTAAATTATAGTGTCCGTCCAAAAATTATTTTTTACAGATAGTGAAAACTACCCTTGGATGATGGGTTAGTAGACTAAAAGCTTTAGGAATCCAAAGTACAACATATAATAAGTACCCTGTATCAAGATTGATGCAAAACAAGTGAAATTTGACCTTTTTAGAGAGATTTAGCCAAAAACTGGGCCATCTGGGGTCATTTGGGTGGATTTGACCTATCTCTGGCCCCCCTTGCTCGATCTGGTTGGTTGACATACCCTTGTGACCGTTAGAGCCAATAGAATCGAAGGAGGATACTTACATAGACACACATTGTAAAGAAAAAATGTTGCCGCTTCGCGTGTGGAAAGCGAAACTAAACTGGAGGAATGTCTCCTTCTGGAGTTTGGAAACTAAAACGCAGTTGTATTGCTTATGGATTATCAGAAATAATTTCAAAGAAGGCACAGACACATAGGATGAACCTATGGATTAACTGCAGCATCGTTTTTTTATCGTTTTAATGCCATTGAAGACCACTTTTGACCAAGGTAAGATATATTTACGTGTTTAGCTTCTTAGCTCCACATGTGATGATGTACGCTTTCGTTGATAGCGTCGCGAATGTTTATCACTGAGTGTTGAGGTGGGCACCGTTAGATTCAGTGTCTCCAGGACACCAAAAAATAGTGTTTGGTTGTGCATCTAGGATAAGTAATAAGGGAGTTCTGAGTGAGTTTATGTGTCTTTGTCGGTCCCGTTTTTTCGATCGAGGCTAATTCAGAGGCTGAGTGCTAGCATTGTGGGGTTTTTTTGAAAAAAAAAATTAAAAAGATCAGTTAGCTGAGTTTCTTCCCGTTACATGGATATAACACATTCATAGTTTTATTCAATATTAAGATTCCTTAGACGTTGTTTCCTGCAAATGACGCGTTTATCCGCCCGGTACCGGGGGGAAGGCGTGAAACAGGTTAATCCATAGGTTATACCAATGTGTCTGTCACTTTGAAAAAATTATTTATAATCCATAATTCCATTTTTATGTAAAGATCGGAGAATAAAAGTTAGCTGCTAATGGTAGCCACCAGAGTTATCGCAGCTTCCGGTTTTGGCTGCGCGTCACTCTCACTCCTTATTTGGTAACGTGTGTGTATGTGGGAGTTCCCCTCGATTCCATTGGCTCTAGCGGTTAAAAAGAGATGTCAATCACCAAAATCGACCAAGGGGGGCCAGAGATATGGAAAATCCACCCAAATGACCCCAGAAGTGTTTTTTTTTTGCTAAATCTCTCTAAAAAGGTCAAATTTCACTTGTTTTGCATCAATCTTGATACAGGGTACTTATTATATGTTGTAGTTTTGATTCCTAAAGCTTTTAGTCTACCATCCCATCATTCAAGGGTGGTTTTCACTATAAGTAATTTCTTTTTTTGGACGGACACAATAATTTAAATATTTTTACTGTGTTCAATCTGAATTGACTTTAAAATAAAAACATCTATATTGATTCTGACACTTCTACATCCAACTCACAGATGTAACCTTGCTTTGAGAACAAATATTATTAATTTAACCCTTTTAGAAGGGAAGATATGGTCATTTGTTCTGGGAATGTCATTTTCGAGCCTGAGACCTGAAAAACAGGCTCAGGGCTTAAGGGAACACAGCATCTCCTTCTCCACACGGCTAAGCAGCCAATAATAGCTGAAACAGAGCAATATTTGGCAATTTGTTTGGCTTTTCTCTTTGACATTCCAACAATTCTCAGACCAATCATGGTGCATTTATATACATGGCCAAGACTTCCGAATATGAGTATGCTATATCTACACTTGTACCCAAAGCATGGTTATCACATCGAGCAGTGGTTGGTATTTGATATACTTGTCCTGGAAAGCCTGGTCCATGTACAGGTCAAAGGCACAGCCTACTTCTAATATTAGATCCTCCCTGTTGTTGGTGTCAACAAAAACAACATCAGGTGTATTTGGGATGTTAGCAAAGACATCATTGGTAAAACCAAACCATTCTGGTAGCACTCTAGTGTGCTTGTACATTGCTGCGCTATTGTAAGATGTTTCACACACACACACACACACACACACACACACACACACACACACACACACACACACACACACACACACACACACACACACACACACACACACACACACACACACACACACACACACACACAGACACACACCCACACCTTCCAGACAAAACAATTTACTCTAAGTTACGGGAACCTCTCACTTTCTTGCGCTGTATGATACAATGTATCATACCTTCTCACAGGTGCGAGCTCTGTCCCCCTCGAGAAAGAAAAACCTCTCACTTTCTCGCTGTAATGGCCCTCCATTACTGTCTCTCATGCAGTTATATTTGTGCCTTGCTCACATTTGACTCATTGACACAATGAGTAGGCGACCGATTAGGCGATTTTCTGTCAGAGAGGCTCTGGACAAATGTTTTGAACCAGATGAAGAGGAGATTGAACCAGACATAGAGGACGATGTCTCAGAAATGGAAGACAACAGCGATCCAGACTATGAGCCTGACCAACAGTCAACATACCAGGAAGAGGCCCCTGAGGGAGAGGCCCCTGAGGGAGAGAAGCCCTGAATATTTATTTTTCTCTAAATGTTCATTGAGGAAAACAGTATCAGTGTCTTATTTTATATTCATCACAGTGTATGCAGTGAATGCTGAACTTGATGGGCCCACCGGTGGGTCCGGACCATATACTGTAGTTGAAAGTACACAATGAAACACTGACTTGCTTGTATCAAATCAATACATCCCATACATCATTGGAACGGGTAGAATCTCAGCTACAACACCAACTAAAGCATTTCCATCTCCAGTAAACAAAGTCTACATGGCAAGCATTTGTATAATATACAATGTACAGTAAGCACTATCTTTGAACTTACTGCACAATTATAACATGAAATTCACCCCTGGTGTCATTCTGTCTGTCACCCCTTGATCCTACTTGCTTTGACTGTTCAAACGAGATGTCAACCATCAAAATTGGATAAGGGGTTCCAGAGATATGACTGTGCAAAACACACCGGTACATTTTGACCGAAAATAGTATGGGAAGGGGGGTATGACCTAACGCAAGAGAAGGGTTAAAAATATGAAAGAATACTCATTATGTAATAACATTTTCCTTGAAGTATTATACTATTATATATATGGATTAATTCTAATATTGAATTCATGTGTATATTTTGTTCCAATGCTAGTGAAACACAAGTAGGCTATAAAGATGCATACAATGGAAATATTCAATTGAAACTTCTGTACTTTTACTTGAGTTTAAATATGAATGACATTTGTACGGTTTTAAGCGATAACCATACAATGACAATGATAAAAAAATCTAAATGTAACGTAAAAAATTATCAAGTATAGTGTTATAATCAAAAAGTCTTCCATATAAAATTGTACTTCAGTATAAAATAAATGGTTATGTTAAGTTAAGTTGTGGAAGTTATATTATTATAAACTATGTTTGTGGGATGACTACTGTACGAACAGTTTTTCTTTAGATGAGAAAATGATTAGGCTATACTGGAAATCTTTGCTGTGACCACACTGTACAATGCATCTGAAACACACCTTAATGATGATCTCAAGCAGCAGAAGATTATGTGCCTGACAGCAGTGAACTGGACTTTGCTTTTCTTTTATGGCTCTGATCTGCTGATTCGTTGACGCCCAGTGAGCACTTTGTTTGCTCTGTGTGTGCAGTTCAGTCAGTGTGTGCATCTGACAGGAGAGTGGGGGGAAAAGTGAAAAAAGAGACGTTTCTGTTCTTGTGAAGAGATGTCTAGGTACCACAAAGCAGCGATTGATGGATACTTGGACCTCTTGAAGGAGGCCACGAGGAAGGACTTGAACTCTGCGGATGAGGATGGCATGACTCCCACTTTACTGGCTGCTTTCCACGGACATGTCGATGTTCTTCAGCTCATATGCAGCCGAGAGTAAGCATGATGCACTCCTCTCTATCATCTAGGCGTAATCTTGCATATATAGCCAGCTTAATCTCATTTATGGTTAATGAAAAGGCTTGGTAAATTGGCTGAATTGTTACATTTTTAGAAAACCATACATTTTAAAGCAATTTCTGCAGAAATTCTTGATGTATTATGCACATCATAACTAAACTAAGATACAGTCAATGTTCAGTGAGCACATTGTAGCATGTTGTCCAATAAACTTACAATAATGTGTAATTGTATACAGCTAATCAGTTATTTAGGACTTCATCTATGTTTTTTCTTCATGTGTTGGTTTTAAACATGTCTCTGAAGACAATATAACAAGCTAAAACTTAATTCCACTCCCATGAGCTGAGCCAAATGTTTAATCAACCAAAAACCTCCTGTGAAACAAAAGAGCCCTTTATCTGTAACCACAACCCCCACCGAATCATTTGTTCAACATAACAAAACAGAGGCTTCAATCTAGAACAGCATTCTTACTGAAACAAATATGATTCTGGGATAGCCTATTCAGTAGGGCGTAACACGCACCTCACCCTGCTACGTGGAAAGAAATACTTAAAGCTTTTCTACTTTGGTCATTGGTTTTTATGACACTGTATTGCAGGAATACAGCAATAAAGACTTTTATGGCTGTGACAATGAGGCGCAGCGCAAGAGGACTTTAAGTCTTAATAGTTTACCAATTCACTTAGCTGTGTTTGGTATTATGAAGTTATATGTCATCAGTTTTTGTTTTGTTTGTTTACAACCTTAAATGTAAAGGGTTAGGAAATTCATATTTGCTCTCTTGCTAAGAGTCAGATTAGAAGATTGTCTGACACCTGTAGCTGGAGCTTCTTAGCTAACTTAGCTTAGTGTCCGAAGACTGTAAAAAGATTTTTTAAAAGCTAGCCTTGCTCTGTCCAAAATCTACTTACCAGCTCCTCTAAATGTCACTGATATCCTATGTATATCTCTTTCTAGTCCAACCCATATAAGAGTTGCAGATCATTAGCCTACTTTAAAATACATATGTTTTTGTTTCAAACAGAGGAGACCCCAACAAGAGTGACATCTGGGGAAATACACCTCTGCACCACGCTGCTGCTAATGGCCACATGCACATCCTTAGCTTTCTCGTCAACTTCGGTGTTAACCTTTTTGCACTGGACAATGAATCCCACACAGCTATGGACGTTGCTGCTTCTCGCGACCGCATGGACTGCGTGCGCTTCCTAGATGCTGCTTCATCGCAGCAGACCAACCAAAATCCAAAGAAGGTGGCCAATCTAAAGAAAGAGGCCATCAAAGAAGCAGAGAAACGTATAAAACTCTGCGAGAAGGTGAAGAAGAAACACCAGAGCAAGATGGATAAAATGCAACATAGAGCGGATAATACTGGATCTGTCTCAGAGGCCAGCATGGCATCAGCGTTCTCAGAGGGTGGCACCATGTCCGGCATCAACGAGCAGTTCTCCAAGCTGATTGCTGCGGATAAATCCGGGTCCCTCACAGCCAGGGTTAAAGGCACGCTCCAGAAGAAGCTCAATAAAAAAGATAAAGGCACGCTGCAGAGAACAGGAGGGGATGGGAACGTCATTTTCCTGAAACAGGATAGTGCAGCAACTGATCAGCCAGAGTTTCTGGATGTCTTCAACGAGCAGGATGAGAGCATGCTAGACAAGGAAGGCTTTGACGACTATGACGATGAACCAGGCGAAATCAAACAGTCCATCTTCAACCGGCCTGGCCTTGGAGGTCTGATTTTCATGAAGAAGATGGGACTTGATTCAGAAGACACCCCCAGTGGGAACAATGAAAGTTTGGGCTACCTTGTTCAGAACGAGATGTTTGATGCAGAGGAAGATGCTGCTGGCTTTGATGGAATTGATGCTGATCTGCCCTGGGATCAGGAAGACCTGGGACTGGATGATAATGAAGATGAGGAGACTTCTCCTTTGGATGGATTCTTGTCTGCCATCTCTTTGCCAGAGTTTGCCCCTGCATTCAGCAGAGAGCACCTAGACCTGGAGGCGCTGATGCTTTGCTCTGATGAAGATCTGAAAGGCATCCGCATCCAGCTGGGTCCCAGGAAGAAGATCCTGGAAGCTGTTGCTTGCAGAAAGAAAGCACTGGAGAGTCCAGGCACCATGACAGACAGCTGCTTGTAATCTCAAACAACACGTGAACAGTAAATTATAACCCTATTTAAGGTTTAAAGAGTGTTTTTTTGTAAATAGAGGCAAAAGTTTGATTTTCCAAATACAAGAAAATGTTTTCCTCGAAACTGAATTGTACTGTACTTAGATACAATATCAAGAAAAGCATTGATAAATCTAGTTGAGAAAGACAAGAAAATTGTAATAAAAATCCACAGATGTTTCTCGTGAATCGTTTATTTCCACAAATGACAATCGTTGGACGATGTGCTGTTTTATGTTGTTTTTACTTTTGACTTGATAATATAATTGTCAAATAAATCAAATATAATAAACAATGTCTCCAACAGTTCCCCCAAGGGCCCCAACCGATAGGGGACTCTATGGCGCTATTGAGACCCCCGACGCCAAGATAAAAAGCTATATTATAGCAACCGGTCTATGTAGGCCTACCGGCCCATTCCCCAGAGACAAACATCAAGGAAACAGGTTTAATCCTCTTCTTAGTTCGCTGTGTCGTTGTCAGGCTGTGGTAGTCTGAGGCCAGGGCAGGCTGTTGTTGATAGCCTATACATGTGGCGCTTCTGAGTGGTTGTGTATGTCCGTGCGTGTGTGAGCGCATCAGCGTGCGCTTATGTTTGGGGCGATGGGGGCCCCAAAATAATATTTGCTCCGGGGCCAATCACAACCTTGTTACGCCACTGGTTATGACAGTATATTGTGGCCAAAAGAGCATAACTGCAAGTGAACAAAATACAAATAAAGAAAATAATAGACTAATTTTAAAGTTTGCGTATAGAGCCTAAATAATTGGGCTGACCAGGCTTTGATCTTATTGTTCTAAAGTTCAAATGCCCCAACCTGATAACTTGAGAAGTTAACCAGAGATGTAACAGGAAGTCAATGATCCAGGGAACTATTTTTTGAAAAAAAAGATCTGATGAACCCACTTAACAACCTGCAACCAAATAGCAAGTGAACACAGTATGTTGGGTAAACAATATAGTTATTGGACTCTAAATAATTCCTTGCATTGTTCCATGTGTGCTTGATGTATAAACAACTAATATAAGGTAAAGCAAAATGCATAATTAATAAAAAAAAAAAGAAGAACATTCATGAGTGACAGTATGTTATTAATTATTACATGGTTTCGGACTACATAACTGTTTGACAGTTTGTATTACTTATTTTGTGTTTATTAGTTTCGGTGTCCTATTCTTTAAACATGCTGCATGTATAGAGGCATATGTGGAATCTACTACAAGTCTGGATAATAAAAAAGGTTTTGAATAATTTAATGTTTTCATTTATACACTCAGTTTTGATATTATGACTAGTTTTACACAATGTAAGATGATCCTTCTAGTCTTAAAGTAACGTATTGCATATGCATTAAAGACTTTGGTTATCATTGCAAACATTACACTTTTTTCTCAGCTTGGGAATTTACACAAAGCCGGATGTACTTGGGGGTGATTGCTCTTGAGCTGTGGGCGGGACTTCCGGTGAGAGGCTTTAAAGCCCTGTCGTTACCGTTTGACGGTAAACTGTGACTGCAGAGGGTGGGCTCGTACTGTTGTGGTCACGATCGTGTCTAACAGGTATTATGTTTTACAACTGCTGAATGCTTTACAGCCCCTGCCTGTGCCTTGTATGTATTCTGCTGAAACGAAGGATAGCATATCACTAGAGATAGATATCGGCTGCTATGATTCGCTAAACCTAATTAGTCCGCTAACTAACAGGTAATCTCAGGTCCTCTCTCCGTCGTGTTGCTTCTCCTGCGACTTTTACACATGGCAATTTTGAACAGCAACTGACTTACTGAAAATAAGTGATGACCAGCTAATCTTTAAACTGTCGGTTTTATCTAACACGTGAATTGACAGTCAAGGTTTTCCAACTGTGCCGTCTGTTTGTCTCTCCACTACAAAGTGAGAAATGGCTGAAATAATCGCCGTCCACGCCGTGTTGCCCTCGCCGTCCACTATAAACGTCACCTTCCCGATCCAGGAGGACACAGCTGCAGCCGCCCCCCCGGCCTCGGTGAGCAGCGAGGAGGACTACCTGTTTGTGGAGGCCAGGCACCCCAACACCGTCCTGCAGGGCCTCAACAGCCTGAGGCTCAACAACGCCTTTTGTGATGTGACCCTGTGCTGCGGAGGCAAGGAGTTCCCCTGCCATCGCATTGTGCTGGCCTCCTTTAGCTCTTACTTCCAGGTAAACACAGCTCTCCGTCACCACAGTCATGGCAGTGACACACTCAATCAATCACTCCATCAAGCACTCCATTTCTGTTAAAGTGAAGATACCCAATACACTTGACAATTACGAAGATTGCATGGAATGTGATGCATCATACAGCAAGCATAAAAGTAAACAAAAAAAATGCAATGTCAATGGGATAGATCGGATTCTTTGAAGTGTAGTTGGATGAGGTCCTTAAAGGTTCTTATGTGAGTAGATGGACAAGCAGACACGAGTACCAGCACATAAGTACTACAAAATAACAGTGTAGTGCTGTGGACAAAAAAGCACACAAAGTTTATGTATTATACTTTAAATATTTTCACAGCTCTACCTTGCTGTCAGACAGCCCTTTCCGACAGGGATCTGAAGCAACTGAAGGAATGACCAGCATCAAGAGAGTGACAGTTTACAGTATGGCTTTATTAGCCCAGATGGGAGTAGACCATGCATGGCCTTGTAGCATGGCCTTGTAACCACTACGGATAGGCCAAAATGTTATATGGTAAAACGTTCTAGTTTGTCACGTTTCTAGCTTCATAATGTTGGACTGCTGAAACTGAACAGTTCTAGTATCAGAATTGGACAGACCAGTAGGGATGGGTATCGTTTGAAATTTATCGATTCCGATTCCGGTTCTTATCGATTCCCCGTTTCGATTCCAAAATTGTAAAAGAAAGAGGTCAAACATTTAGATAACAAAAATATCTTTATTCTTTTAAGCTTTAACTGACATTTTTATAAATAAAAAATATACATGCAATACAAATGTATTGCACAACAGCTGTGCTTTATTTTAACTGAGCTATGCCTGTGGCAAGCTATTAACAGGCATTACACTGTGCCTTGTCTTTTTCTTTTTGAGTGTAGTGGAGCCTCACTTTAGAGCGTTTACCGCGATCCATCTTTGGTGTTATGAAGTGACTCACTGAGCTTGTGAACTGTCTACGGGAGGGCGGGGGGAGCCTCGCTGTGGGGCAACTGTGGACCTCTGTCGCCTGTCAGAGCAACTTACATGATGCCGTTTAAAAAGATTAAGGGCGGTGCCGGCCGTCAACGGCCCGCTGACGACCGGCCGTTCTGTGATTCTCCAGAACACACAGATGGCCAGTCCGCCCTTACCCTGTATTCCACCGGGTCACCGCGGCGCAGACGGACCCGGTGGAATACAGGGTCTACCGTGTTTAGGAACCGTTAAGCAGAACCGAAATTGGGTATTTTGTATGGGTACCCGGTACCCGGCATTTTCTTATCGGTTCTCATCTGGAACCGAGTTTCGGTTCCCAACCCTACAGACCAAAGAAAAGGACATTACAATGATCAAGCCTGGAAGATATAAATGCATGGATTACGGTTTCAGCACATTACAATGATTCAATACATCTAACTTTGGCAATATTAGTCTAAAAAAACATTCAATGTTAACAGTCAAGTTCTCACAATGTCCCACATTTCTTTGGACCAACAACTCAAGGAGTCCAGATGTTCATACGCTACAAATTCATGTTAACAGTTTGGAATTTTGGGTGTTTCCTCCTTCATCTCTCCAGGCAATGTTTTCCACTGACCTGATAGAGTCCAAACAGGAACGGGTTGCCATTAATGGAGTTGAGCCTCAGATGATTGGCATGCTGGTGAGCTACGCCTACACCTCAGAGGTCTACATTTCTAAAGCAAATGTGCAGGTAAAGTATCAGCCATTCTTTCTTCTTCACTGGCACCCTTCCTCTAAAGAATCTCTGCTGAAAAACAACATTTGTTCCAGGCTCTGCTGGCAGCAGCCAACCTGTTGGACGTGATGGCCGTTCGAGAGGCCTGTTGTCGCTTTATGGAGCGTCAGATGGACGAGATGAACTGTGTGGGGATTCACTGCTTCGCTGAGGCCCATTCTTGTAAGGTGTTGGAAAAACGCAGCATGGAGTACATTCATGAGCAATTCAGCAGCGTTTCTCAGCAGGTGAGAAACGCTGATCAAACCTTTTCATTCTACATGCTGATACCTGGGGCTTGGGTATCTGCTGTGTTTAGTTAATACGCATGTATGGAAGTGAATGGGAGCATTCTTTAACATGGAAGGCAACATCAGGTTTGAACTAAACATTGCTTTCAAAACTTTAAAAAACAAAATGTAACAAATAAATGTATAGTTCTAACTTTACTGAATAGTTTTTCACTTAAGTCAAAGTCAACTTTAATGTCAATCTTCCAGTTTGTGTGTACAGGTGGGGAGATCAAAATGACGTTTCCAACAATCCCAAATACAAAAATACAATTATACAATACACAGATATGTATACAAATATGGATAAAATATGTATATCCTATATACACAATCAACACATTGCACACATTAAGATAAAAAACACAACAATCAATATATACAAAATAACAGTCACTTCAATTTCAATATCAATATCTTTGGGAATGTACATTAGTGCAAGGTTGTCCATAGAATGTGCATTTATTGCAAGATTGTCCATAGCAGCGTAAAAAGAAAAAGTGTCTGGTGCTGGATTTTGAGTGTGCGTGGGGAGTTATAGTCCAGTGGGGGCAGGGGGAGAGGGCAGGGGAGGGAGGGGAGAGAGCCTATTAAATTGAGCACCAGCAACTATGTAAAAAATCCTGAACTGGAATTCAAATACATGTATAAAACTGCATACAATTGCTGTGTGCTTATTACACATTACATGCTTATTTAGTGGGAATGCTGTTAACAGCATTCCAACTATCTGTTCTTCGACGCACGAAATTATTCCGCCGGAATTTTGCACCTCTTCTCCTCCCGCATTGAACATCGCAGAAACTCCGTTCAAACATCAAAACGTTCAGCTCGGTCGGGAATCGATGGCTATTACTTTTTTCATTCATAACTTTCATAATTCCAGAGATATAGCCCATAATTCATCACATTTGTAACATTTTAACTTTAACATTGCGCAGCTCGTTAAGGCAGAGTGCGTGATGTCAGAGTTAGAGTGGAGGACAGTTTGAAATTTGCCTTCATATTTTTTTTTTAAACTGCCATAATTCCCAAACCCTACATTCCTGAGACATAATTTTTCATGACAAACGTAGGAAAACATCTCGTAGCTTGAAAAATGACAAATAATTAGGCAAAAATAATTAAACAAAATGCCTCTTGAGGGCATGAAGTGACAAAAACTTTCAACATGCCTCC